ATATATATATAATATATATATATATATATATATATATATATATATATATATACTTTTATTATACTTTTGCTTGCTTTCTTAAAAGAAACATATTACAGTAACGAACTTTGCTCAAGCCGATCCACTTCAGTTAAAATGTCATTGTATTCTTGCGTCACTTCATCATCAGCGTTGTGAAGATTGGCCTCATCGACATTATCTACATCCACATCATTATCATTGTTATCTTCATCACCATCTTTTCTATCTCTCGCCTCATCTCCATCGCCATCGTCATCATCACCTTCATCATTATCATCATCATCATCGTCATCGTCATCATCATCGTCGTCGTCATCATCGTAACTTTGCAGCAAGTAATATTGTACATCACTGTTTTCCTCACTGTTACGCAAGAAAGCATCTGTTGTTTTTCCACAGCTATCATCAGGTAATGCAGATAAGCTGACGTTATTGTCCTGATGTAATACGCGTTTAACAGGATCCTACAAAATACCCATTAAGAATCTTAGTTTCTTTCTAAGCTCTTACAACTTTAGGTATATTTTCCTCTACTGGATCTTCTATTACAATGAGACTCAAAGCGTATTTTGACCTGATGTTCGAAGAATTCCTTTAAAAACTAGTTGATTCAAATTGCTAACTTGAGCAATTTGATTTAAGTAATTTGAAGCACTAAGAAAACATAGAAAAACCACTAACGGATCTATTGGAAAACAGTGAAATATGTTCTGGTGGCTCCGGCACAATATCATCTCTTTCGAGAGAACCAGAAGGAGCTGGTTCTTGATCGGTGGTGTAAATTTCGTTTTCGCTAACTACATCCAGTAGTTCAAGACATCCATCTTCACCACTAGCAGCCATTGAGATGCTGTAAAAAAAAAAAAGTGATATTCACTTCCTTAAACTACGAATGGACTCAAAAAACCTCAAAACTTAAGTATCAATAAAACATCAAGCCCCAAATAAAATTTATCAAATGTTTACCTGGGAAATTTAAAAATAAATGTGCTTTCTTACTTGACATATGTTATCCTATGTTAATTTTGAAATTCCATATGACATGTACATATCTTAAAAAAAATAAGTCTTGGAAACATTACAGTTAAAACCAACGTAAAATCATACCACGATTGGTCACCATCATCTTCAAGCTCTTCAATTTCACCACTGAAATTATTGAATCAAAACGTGAAGTGAAGTAATAACGATACTGCGATTTACAATATTTGTTTTGTAAATTAAACACCTGATAATAAAAGAATTGACAAAAATGTATCCCCGACTTATATTGTCCCGTTCTTCTTTCTAATGAAAATTGATTTGAAATCCTTACCACTAGCTAGATTACTTCTAATAGTAGAAGTAATAATCTAATATGCCAATAAATTAAAAAAAAAAAAGAAAAAAACTAACTTATATGAAACGAACCTCCCCTCAGTTCGAAAACTATAATTGGTGGTGTCATAATTTCCCCTTTTCATACTTCTTCGTGCAGCAGATGGTGCCGGAATATTACGCCACCAATCTTTACTACCAACTCGATCAATACCCTCGATACCAGCATCGTGTGCCCGCTTCTGCAACAATGTCCTAAACCATCTTACCGCATATACAACGAATTTTTTCGCATATAACTATTACGAAATGAAAATGAATGGTAAAGCTTTCTGCTCATATTTCTCCTTTACACGTCGAAAGTAACAGATAAGCATCCGCTTGAATATGGTTTTAATAAAACTATAGCTTTCATAAAACATAATTATATCTGTTAAGATTCGACAGTAAAGTTAAATCTAATTAAAATTTTCGAAAATTAAAGAAAAAAATTCTTCCAGTGAGATACCAAGAAGCATCCAATTAAGCATGCTTTTCGATAAATTTATTTATGTACCTCATGTACTCAGTTTGATAGTATGTAACGCAGATTATAGTAATACAGACACTGGTTAAAGCAAAAAGTTGGAAATTTCCACTAATGGTTAATAAATAAAACATTAACGACGGAAAATGAGCCAAACAAACATAGGAATAAACTAACCGCACTTCTCCACAGTTTCATGATAACTTTGTTCATCGTTTCCCAAGTAGGATATTCATCTGCATTTAACAAACCTTTAGGTGCTAAGCTTTCTGCTCTCAGAGCTCGTAACCGTCCCTAAAAATGTATAGAACGTAGTACTGCATATATTAATAATAAATTCGTGGTAAATCTTTCTCGATAGTAAAACCATCAGATACCGCTTAAGGAAATGCAGAACTTCACTGATTTGAGTGGTCTAACTTTTAGTTCTTATTGCTCACATAGCCGATCTATCACTTCTGAATCGAATATTTTTTGTAAACCTTGGGAAAAAATAAAGATCTAATTACCCTATTCCAAGCTTCTTTCGGATTCATAACTCCGTTGTAGACATCAAGACGAGCTTCCCTGTCAAACTGTCGGTTAACAATATTAGAAAATGTAAACAAATCACATTTTGAATTATGGACTGGATTAACATCACCTACCAAATGACCTGCAATAAAAAAATATTGAAACACCAACTTGATCTTGGAGAAGATGTGCTCAGATGCGTCAATTTATCCCCCAATGACATCAAGCAATAAACAAACTTGGTAACCAATAAGTAATAAGTTACTCTACAATCTTACTCTACAATTTCAACCAAATCTTTTCGGAAATGCAGAAGAAAAATTCAAAAATAACCTTCAGCAAGTTTTATTTGGGCAATTGGATCGCCGGGTTCTTTTGCCATAGTTTCACACCCTGAACAACGGTAATAGCAGCGTGAATTACGTGCTTGATTCAGCCGATAAACGCGGAACCTGATAACTAGCAAATAGTTGAATACTTCTTGAACATGAAAGAAGAATTTATTCCGGATAATACACAACAGCAATATTTCTAACCACGAAATATTTTAAATTCCAAGTTCAAAGTTGAAAATTTTAATCTTCAAAAGTAGAAAACAAAATCAACTTGTCAGTCCCGATAACAGGAACAGCGATATCAGTCCATTTGAACCGTCGATTAAGAAGAAATACATAAGGATGCAGCATTAATGGGCGCTGACCAGTTATTAATTCTTGAAGAAGAGCGCATCTGCAAAAACTGAAAATTTGATAAACACGACCAATTAAACATGTAACTGGGACTTCAACAAATTTTTGAGCTTAAAATCCTCAAAGAAATTTTCTTGTGTTGCAAACGCATACATTCTCATTTAACTTCATAACAGCAAAGTTATCTCCATTTTAGCATAAATATCATCATTTTAAAGTAATAATTATCGCTTCAAACGTAGAACAGTAAAAATCAAAGCAATTAGACCTGAAAAGTAATGCTAACCTATATTTATCTTAAACACTTCTCCTAATTGTTTTTGGATCATACCCAACATAACAGATAAAGACCAAGTTTGGAAGAAGCAAATTAACTTTATCGAGTAGAGTGATAAATGTTCCATTCAAAAAAATGGGTCATTCTCTACCTTTCCTTGTCTTCGTCAGTAAAATATTCTTCCGGATTATCAGTCTTTTGCACCGGTACATTAAAAACAACTGATGAAGCTAATCCCTTACTGGCTTCTGTAAACGCTTGCTGAAACATATTTCCCCTGTGTAATCATAGATAATGAGTGAGAAAATAAATCACCAATTTAATTCCAATATTGAAAAAAAAAAAGTCAATGTATGGGAACAACTGAAATACGAACAAGCATTAGATTAAATAGGTCTATTTGAGCACTAAAGTATTTATATTTTCGACAGGTTCGTTTACGGACTGTTCGTCGCGCAAATGTATCATTAACTTCATACTAAAAGCTTTATTCTAAATAATCGGATTGCATCGATAGGCTCAATTTAATTCAGAAACTAGCGGAAACAAGGAAAGGGATTCCTACAAAACTTCAAGACCCTGAAATGACAAATTACAGAGAATTAATAAATCACATCCTTACCTGGAATTGTGCAATTTGTTCAGGATGTAAATCACCCAGAGTTATAGTACCTAGAACTTTTGGTTGCTGACATGGTTGTGATTGCAAATTAGCAGAAATATCCCTGAAAATGAAAAACTGATTCTCTGATTCTTAAACACTAATGTAATTAACAACATTGCAAAAATGGGCTTGTAAGCTTCATTATCATCCTAAAGATGAAGAAATTTAAAATACTCCCTACATTTATTTATTTTTTATAATTTTCAGGGGCAAAATCAGTATCATCGAAGACCAGTTTTGCTAGTAGACAGTAATATATGCCAACAGCATAATTGGAGAAAATTATTCAATATTTCATCAGATTAAATAAAACAATTATTCGAAATTCAAAAGTTTTATGAAGGAAGTATTGTGTGTAAAACTGGATGCAAAATGATAAGATGTTTAAGGTGAATTAAAATTAAACGTAAGTAGTAATGACTTACATCTTTCCATCATTGTTAACACCATGTTGAACTTCAACATTATTGATATAATTCTGCAAGATCTAGCAAATGTGATCTTTAATTTTAATAAGTCACTGATCATTCTTAGCATTAGTAAAACTTCATATTGGGAGACGCTTTCTTAGTCTCACCTATATATTGCCTGGCGAGCAAAGTAAGACTTATAATTCAAGTTCTATAAATGCAAAGGAAGAGCAGGTGTAAAAAAACCAACAATCAGATTGAATGTTAATTTCATCTGAGACTAAAAATGCACAATTAATAAAAATTAGTAAACGAGAAAATCTAGTACCTGGAAATTATTGGCAAAGGAATCAGCGCAAAGTGAATCAGCAATCTGATCAGCAGCTTCTTCATCCGTTATCTCTCCATGAAGTGCCCGAACAAACGCCTTCTCAACTAGCGTAGTTAACATGAAAGCTAAGAAAAGGAATGAATGCAATTTTATTATAGCACATCACTGAAAACATAATTCAAATTTTCGTCATTTCCCTCGTTAATTTCAACTCCTAAATGATATCAAATATCATCTGATCAAAATGGAAAGTTTGGATTTCGATGATATACTCCATATTTAACAAATTTTCCCATTTTTTTAATTGGTAAACGCAAATGGTTATGTTGTTTAACGGATGAGACTTACATAGGGAACAGAAAGTGCCTCGGATTACTAGCAATTTACCAGATTACCAACCGTTTCCAATACTGGTATTCGCGTCTTAGACTAGATCAGAGCTAATGTTTGGATTAGAAGTCATGTTCTGAAGTGGTACTTATGTTCTACGTTTGAGATATGGAAATCTCATCGCTCAGTAATATTACTTTTGAAGAATTTCTGCAGCTACGGTAAAACCTTATTAAACTAGAATATAATGCAAAGTATGCGAAGTTTTCGAATTAAAAAAGAGCATCTTGAGGAACAAAAAAAACTGTCAAATCTATTAAACAAAAGGATTAGAATAAACAATAATTCAGAAAATACGCACAATGTGGCTTCAAAAAAAAAAACCATTTCGGAATAGTTTCGTTACAGTTTCCATGTGCTTTCTACTTCAAAATAGTGTGACTTGATATTGGTTGAGTTAATTTCACTCTGCATATAGTAGTTGAAAAAAGGACGATTATGCGATGATATGAAATGAAATGAGGTCACTACGCCCTATTATAATGTTCTCACGTAAAGAAGAAAACAATATGACCACCTCATGATGGAAAGAAGGAAAGAGAATCAACAAAATTAACTTCAACGGAGTAAGCTGATGTGATTTCGAAATCGTTGCACTTCAATCGATCGAAGTACACTGCGTTAAAAGTTGTGGACCGCATTTTTCTTTAAACATTTGATCTGCATAGGAACAGTTGAACGACACAGGTTTTAGGGTGCTTCGCGTCGTTTGTTTGAGACTTTAAGTGTCTTGTGTCACATGATGTGACGGCGCTTACACCAGCTAGTTCTACAAATGGTCCCTTCAGTTTCTGCTTAGACGTCTTTTTTGTGGGCGTGAAAATTTCAAAAACTGTCAGCGTATAGAGAAAATGCAAAGTATCTAATCCAATGAAAAGTAGCTTATCGGAAATTGACAGTTCGAAATTTACGTCGGAAGTCGGAAGGTTTTTTTTGGCTGGGAATGTTAAATTGTTCTTGCCTTATATCTGTCGTTAAATGTTGCTAGATTAGATGTATCGTTGATGAATACATCTTATTCGAAATATGAAACTTCAGCGATTTTGGGGTAGAAATGTTGAGCTTCGATTTTTACCGCTATACATAAATAGCTTTATTAGTCTTAGTGCTTAATTCTAATGGATAACATTCCGTTACCTCTTCACAGTAGAATATTATGCTCGCATTCTGTTTCGTCCGGGTTCAGAAGTTCACATCTTTATTTACACTCCTTTATCGTTTCTCACATTTTTTTTTCTTGCTGTTCAATGGTTCTCAATGTTTTTAACCAAGGAATGTGGTCTTCTCACTTTCAGGTGTGAAAGATGGGCAAGGCGGAGCAGCTTGCTGAAATCAGAGAGAAAAAGGCGGCCAATCCAATGAGGGAGTTGAAAATTGAAAAACTTTGCCTAAATATTTGTGTTGGTGAATCAGGCGATAGGCTTACACGTGCCGCTAAGGTATCGTTTTGGTTCTTGTCGCGAAGAATTACTGGAAAGGAAAAAAGAGTGCCAACTTATTGGCTTAGATAACATTTATATTCGGTCTTATTGCATAACTGTTGTTCATACTTTCATAGCAGTGGATACATTATGTTAGGGTTAAAAAGATCACTGTCTATATGTCCTAATGGCGATGATTCATCGCAGTATTAGTGAATGTCAAATTCTATAGGCGTATAATAAATTTCTAGCAGCTTCAAAGTGTTTATCATCAACGGTTCTTTTAGCGCAGTCAAATGGTGCTCGATCATGTTCCGTGTGCTGCACAGCAAAAAAATTTTCCAAGCACAATAGAAAGTTTTCGCTCCTAATCTTTAAAATATCAAGTACCTGGGTTGCTGGTGAGATCAAGACTATTAGGTGGAATTTAGTACAGTACAAGTGAACCATAATACCAAATAACTGTTTTGTCTTTTCAGGTGCTTGAACAGTTAACTGGTCAGACACCGGTATTTTCGAAGGCACGGTATACCGTACGATCATTTGGTATTCGTCGTAACGAGAAAATTGCTGTACACTGTACCGTAAGAGGTCCGAAAGCTGAAGAAATCATTGAGCGTGGTTTGAAGGTTCATTTATCGTAACTTTTATTCTTATAGCTTTCTCACTTTTTGATCTCATCTGGATTTTACGTTTTCTTTGATGTGAGTATGCAACAGAATGCTTTGTGAGATTTTTACTGCTCTTGTTTGTAATATGAGGCCCGTTGTAGAGGTAAGCATTTGTAGCTCCTCAAAACTTCCCTTTTGAAGTCCTTGAACCAAACATTAAGTTTTAATCTATTTCAGAAAGATCCTCGATTTTTTGATTTTGAATTTCCATGATGTTATGATGAATCAGGCCTCTAGGTACATAAAAGGCATGAAATGAGTCAAATGATCGCCACTTTCCTTAAACAGTCTATGCATTTTTTTTCTTGGGAACAAATTCTTTCGTACTTCTAGGTGAAAGAATATGAATTATATCGAGAAAATTTCTCAGACACTGGGAACTTCGGCTTCGGAATACAAGAACATATCGATTTGGGAATTAAATATGACCCGTTAATTGGTATCTACGGTATGGACTTCTACGTTGTTCTTGGGCGTGCTGGCCATCGAGTTGCAAAGCGTAGACGTGCACGTGGTCGTGTGGGACATACGCATCGCGTAGGGAAAGAGGAGGCAGTAAAATGGTTTCAGCAAAAGGTATGTTTGTCATGAGTGAGCTTGAACTGTGACCTTTAAAAAAAATGACTGCCGAGGTCACTTAGTAATAATTAAGTCATCGGTAATCACCACCATCTCGATGCATCATTGAGGTGACAACAAACGTCCGATAAAACTTTCCTAATTATCACGCGTACTGTAGCTTTCTCTTCTGCACTAGTCTTTCAGAACTGTTGTTTCCATCATGTAAAGTGCCATATTTTCAAGAATCCCTGAATGTTCACATTGTGGGGTGGTATGATTCATTGTTATGTTCGAAGCGCTGTTGTCTATGCTTAGTTTTTTTTCAGTATGATGGCATTATTCTGCCTCCAAAAGCAAAGGAAATTCGACGTGGACGAAGACGCTAAAAATGACTCTTGTTATCAGTTCATTGTTGTAATTTAAATACATATGATTACAATTTTTTTGCTTTTTACAGTAATCTGTGAACACATATCAGTGAGGTTATTTAAACCCAACCCATTACTAGCTTCGCCGAACTTTTCTAAGCCATTATGTGAAGTAAATTCCAGAAAACTCTGACTGTCCCTTTTGATATCTAGCAAATCCGGGACTATTTCACACAAGAAATATTTGACTTCAATTTTAAATACATCTCGACTCACACAGTAAGTACGAATTTGCGACTTGTTTCTTTTTGTAGTAAGTCGTATTTTATTACATAGAAAAATACAGTTAATAACTCAATAGAACTACGCAATGATCACAGAGTGTTTTACGATCATATGAAAACATATTTAACTAAAGCTACTCTTCTAGTATTAATTTGAAAATATTTAATATACAATCCTTTCTTGGTAAACGGAATGGATTAGAGATAACAAGTGATTGATACAAGAATGTGCGAAGGATTCAGCCGGATTGGAAAATCCGTTACTTGTCATCAGCTAATTCATAATTTTAAGTTTATATAAGCTACGTTTAGTCAGATTAGATTAAATTAGCTCATTAAGCGCATTTTCTCAGCCTTGTTGCGAATCTTGCATTCTGCGTTTTTTTGCTGGTGTTAATTGCTACAAAGTGTGAAATGAGTTAATTTAAGAGCAGTAAATCACCTGATTCCAAAGAAAAATTTTAATAAATGTCATTAATTCAAGGAACAGTTGAGCTATCTGAATGGCTAAAATGATTGAAGGATGAATCGTTTGCGCGAGTAAACAATTATCAGATTATCACTATATTTTTACTTCCCATCCAGAAACTGCTAATACAAGGAAAGTTTCAAAAATTTTCCTTTCCTGGGGAAATGTACTTGCAACAAACTTTTGTTATTCCGATTAATCTATGGTTCACATTACTTCACCTTATAATCATAGCGCTCGGGTATCTATTCGAGCACTTCATCAACCTCAGCACATAAGTTGTGTGTGAAATACAAAAATATCACGATAAAATAAAAGATTCAAAAGCATCTAATGTATCGACATTATATAGCTAACCCACACATCAATTAGGCAGATGTATTTAGCGTACAAAAAATCTATCTCAAAAGAAACAATTAAAAATCTAGATAGTGTGCCATAAATTTCCCTATAAACAACACAACTCACATATACATATGCACATTCGCAAAGTTCATTCTGTAGCAGTTGCATTATCAGCATCCAGCTGTTTGCCAAGATATTCCCAGTTATGCACCATTAATTTTTGGATTGCAAGCAAAGAATGATATCGTACGTTTGGATCATCCGCCGAAAGCAATTTCATCACTGCTTGCTTACCTTGTAGTTGCTCAATTTTGCTGAAGAGGAAGAAAAAATTAATATATATATATATATATGGTCTCACCAAGAGGAAGAAAGAAAGACATTAAAAACGAACTTTTTACCCCTCGGATAATGTCTCACGTATTCTCCAATATCATGAACTGCTACGCAGAGAGTTAAGGTGTCTGACTGTAGTTCCAAAATATTGATTAATATCCTGGAAATGCACATATAAAGGATTAGAACAGCAATTTTTAGATATTTTACTATGGAAGTAGAGATTTACCTTAAAAGTTCGAAATCTTTTTCATTGAATTTCTGTGCATTTTCTCTCCAGAACTTCTCTGATTTATGGACCGGACTCCATTGTAGCCGACCTGATCTCACCTCAAAAAGAAATAATTAAATTCGAAAAACCAACTCATGCTTCACCGAACTGTATCACAAATCTGTATCAAAATCTGTAAAGATCTGTATCAGTATAAGACCTGTATCTGTAATCTGCATCGTTTCCCAGATTCCTTAAACGAAAAAAAAACAGAAAATTTCGGAATAAATGGAAAAGACTCGGAAAACTCAAATCAGTTTAAAAGGTGCCACAGAATTTAATGAGTTTATTCAACTTCCCGGCAAAATTTACCAGGAATAATAACACTCATCAGTAGTGAATGGCAAGAAGTAGCATCACGTAGCATTTTATCATTTGAAACATACCTCCGATACATATTCGTCAAACGAAGAAAAATCTTGGATCGAGGAATGCAATTTTTCACTGAGAAATTCAGCATCATCGTTCAGTTCGGCATCATCAAATTTTTTGGAGTCCATTAGTTCAAGTGTTTTCAAAGTCTTACATTGCACCATCTGCAAAGCTGCTTCTCGCACAAGATCATGATCATCGATTTTCTCGAGAATGTTCCGAAACGTTCCCATGATTATGCGAATTACCTGTGACAAGCAATTTTAAGAGCCGGATGCATTTATTTCTTTACAAAAGAGCAAAAAATGAAATAAACTGATAAGAGTCACTACCAATCACTATAAATTCGTATGCAACGAATCTTGACGTACCAAGTCATAAAAAAAAGAAAATTATAATTTTGTAAACTGAATTGAAAAAGTATCAAAAATATACAGTTCTACCTTTTCCTTGGTTGATTCAGAAAGGATATCACCAAGAATCTGAATAATTCCACTATGCGGAAATCTTTTGGCTATGGCTGGATTGAATGTAAGACACCATAAGGAGAATATAAGTTGATATTGGAGTTGGAAATTGGTTTTACCACTTAACACTGATAAGATACTGAAAATCAAGGTATTTTCAAGTCATTTACTATAATTTCTGGGAAAAAAATGAGTGGTTTAAAATTTGTCTGATAAAAATGCTCTTCTACCTATCTGTCTGTCTTACCAAATATAAAACATGCTAGTTTTATTTCCAGGTTTTGCGAAATATTATGAGCTAAATTAGTTTAAAAGATTTTCCTAACTATTCGGTATTTGAAGCATTACACATTATTTTTAGTGTCAACAATGGTTGTATTAATTTACAGAGACCATGCACGCAAAAAGGGGAAAAAAAAATCAATTTAAAAACCTCTTAATGCCATCCATCGCTAAAAATGCATGACGATATTCATCAATCCGAAGCATCATTTGCAAGCAACGTGCCGTTGTATTAATGTATTCGTTTCCTGCAGACTTCAGCTGATCCTTGAGAAATGAAATATAAAAGTTCAAATCAGAACCTTCCATGAGTGTCATTCCAGAACAAGCAAATTTTGCCAAAACGGATGACATCTGCAAAAATGTTTCTACGAATTGTTATACTAAAAAATTTATTTACAAAGGAAATATGAATCGTAGACTGTATGACTGATTATTTCCACAGTCACCAAAAGCTAGCAAATGCAAGCAAGTATGTATTCAGAGATATATTTGCCAAGCATTATTTTAGATTTCAATTTATTGTTGTTTATACTTCATCATCGTAGTTATAGATAAGGTATTTAGTGATCAAGACATTATTGACAATGTAAACATGCTATAATAAGAATACAAATACATGATACATCAAATTACTTCCAAGTTTCTTTGCTAAAATTTGATTCGAAATGCAAACCTGATTTATGGTAAATGGATCTCGACGTTGTAAGATACCCAAAAACCATGACCAAAGAGTGCGTTTGTTTTTTCGGGCATAGCTATGAAATATTTCTACACGTGATTTATCTTCCTGAAATAAGTCTGTAGTCATTAAATCAAAGTATTACATGCGAGGGACAGAGAAGGAAAACAGGTTTACATTAGAGTTTTCATTTCTTTTTCCAAATAGCGACATGTTTTTCTCAAATTAAAAAACCTCAAATTTTCCATGGCGAGTTTCCATCTTCGTCAAAAGTAATCAATTATATCAGTTGATTAATATACAGACTAAAGTGATGGTTAGCTTTTCCTCTTTTGCAACGGTTAATGCGATGTTATCAAAAGATTCCTCCCTTGAATTACCGAGAATTATCGAGGCTGAGAAAATTGCGGTGTGTTTTTTTTCACTGTGTTTTTAGAACTAAAACATGAAAATTATTAGAAATCCCGGTAGGATATGGAAAACAGAAATAGAACTAACCATAATCATATCATCCAGTAATGTTAATACATAACGAACATTTTGATCTTTAGCAACAGTTGTAATAAAACTGATCATTGTTCGCGCACACTGCATTTTGTTGCTTTCCAGGAGAATATCACGATCTTGCTTGGTTTTTGATGCTTCATATGATGTTATGAAATCATAATCCTCCTGAGCAATCATTTGACTCCTGCAATTCCCCCTATTAACCTTATAACAACAACTTAGCTTGAAACATGTTTCAGTTTTCCTTTTTCCAGCAACTGCTCCTCACTTCTTACCTTATTCACCATCGAGAGAACGAAAAAAATTAACACATTACATGGCGGAGGAGTGAAATGCGTAATCTCGGAAGTCCTTCGATAGCAAAATAAGGTAATTCGCAAAAGTCTAAAAAGGAGAAGTGGTAGTAAGTGATCAACTTCCAATTATAATATATAAGAAATATGGCTAGTAGTTGACTAGCTGAAAATTAAAATGAGCAAACACTATATTACCATCTTATGAAGAATATAGATTCTGAGTCGAGCTTTATTCCATTCTTCAGTATACTTTAAAGCTCATTTACCATACCCTCGTAAATATATCTGCAGCAACGAGAAACGTTATCTACCAGTAAAAAGTATACGGTTTCTTCTGCACAGCAACGAATATATCCTCTTCCAAATCAGCGACTAAGGATAACATTTCATTTTAAAATAAAAGTGTGATGAAGTACTGAACGTGAACCTTAAGTAAGAATTCCAATTAGGTCTATTATTTCGAACATCGGCTGCTTCTAGCTGTAATTTACTCGTTGCACTAATCATATCGACCTGAGGGATTTGCGGAACATCCGCTGATATTCTTAAATCGGCCATTTCTCCGGAATAAAATATTTGGAATTTAGGAATGCTGGAAATAAAAGTTAAAACAGCGTCAAGATTACATTTCAGTAGTCGGTCAACCCGACCCATACGACTCATACAAAGAATTCATCTTTCTACTCCTTTCCCTATTTCTTCCTCGTGATTATTTTTTGAGGGCATCAGGATAAGGTGAACACCATAAATGAATATATAAAAGACTGCTCAGGAAAATCGAGGCAAATAAGACATCGAAAAACTGCCGGATGAATAGATGCATGGCAAAATATGAGAACAGGTGAAAGCAACACCAGAATGAACAAATAAGTGGAAAGTTTCTACACTGGATAAATGCAAGGAAGATTACCGAGATAAATGGATATGGGGGAAAATTCTGGGACGAATATCTGGAAAAATACCGGAACAAATGGAAGTATGGAAAAATACTGGAACATGGCATACGACATTCCAGATGAATATAGAAAAATAACCACAGAATAAGAAACCAACGATCAGGGGCAGGCATTCCACACAAGACCGTTTCGTTTCGAATATTTTGACATATAAATATATTGAATTGCAAGATGATTTATAAAAGTAAGGGAGAAGTTACAAGAGAATATTCAGGACGGCGAGATATACCGGGACTAAATCATATATATAAAGGTTCGTTTGGTATTTAAATCAAGAGAGATCCAAGCAAATATAATAAGGATCGATAGATCGACCGATCAATGAAAATATCACGTACAGGATTTACGTCAATGGTTTCCTCAATTTACGTCAACATTCATGTACTAACGTATGAGTTGCATGCAACATCCGACAAAAATATTTCGCCAAATTACTGAAGTTACCGATTAGTAATTCACGTGACTATGAATGACAGTGATCCAGTCACAACTTTCCGGTCAACCGGATAGTTTACGCTTGTGAACCTTTCACAAATGTTTCACAGTCTTACCCCCTGTTACTCTGCATCCTCATTCCTCTTCCTTCTCCTTTCTGTCCCTTAATCATCAATATTATCGTAATGGTCTTTGATCCCCTAACAGTTATTTACCCCTCTACCAACTCTTTGCGTAATCAGAAAGGGGACCGACCTATCGTAAGGTTCCTATTACTCATTGATGACTCATCCACGATATCATCCTTTCCTGTCACCTCTCTTTGCAATGTATGAGAATTATTCATTTGCTCCTATGCAGATCGTACTTTTTCAACTATCTGATTATGAAATCGAGTACAGTTCTTAAAATTTTTTGAAATTTCTTCCGTATGTTGCAGACAGTCGTAATGGGATTCTTATCTATGAATGTCTGTGTATGTGTATGCACTCATATGTACGTGTGTACGTGTTCCATGCATGTGTATGTGTACGTCTGTCTATGCATATGTGTATATATTTGTGTATGTGTGCATGTATGTGAGCGTATATATATATGTGCGTGTGTCACGTGTGTGTCAGATGTATGTCTGTGTTGTGTGTGTGCATATATATGCATGTGTATTTGTTTTTACACGTGTTTTTTTGTGTGCATGTGTGTGTAGATGTCATTTGATTTTGAGTAAATATATCCAGAAATTTTGGCTGGCCAAAAAGATACAGGATGGCCCAGTCGATTGACTGATAGAAGTTTCAGGTAATTACTGATGTACCTTCTTCCTACCCATGATATAGTAGATCAACTTTTGGATGGGAAACGAATGATTCGATTAGCTTAAAATACCAAGGCTACATATGTAAGCAGGTTTAAACATGGCAATTTGTCATTAAAGCAAAATTTGAGTACGGCTGTCCAGTCATCTGTCTCCCTGTTTCATATAGAAATTGAACTAATTCGGTAAATTGAAGGAATTTGATGAAGATTTATTTACGGAATGCTTGCTCATTTTGGCTTATTTTTTAGAATGTTCATTTTAGACCACTAATTGGATATTAGTTTCAGGCTAAAAGTAAACGATCTGGTGACACATGCGTCCACTTCATGATGTTATCGTTTTGGAGACGAATCATCGTCTCATTTCATTTCTTGTTTTATGTCTGTTTACTAATAAATAGAACATTTATGGAAGGTAATGTTACTTATTTTTCTAAACTGAAATTACAGTACTTATACGCCGATTGAGGGAGAAAAATCTAAACGATCGACAGATCAATGTTTTAAATGATGAACTGATAACGTTGAAATTCTTGCGCTATTATCGATATTTATTATCAGCCATGCGATTAACAAAATATTGGAATAATTTTCTTTCCTTCATTGGTAGCAAATAAAGATTTTAAAGGCGGAAAAGAGGCGAATTTAAATGAAAGATTGAAATATTACGAAATTATCGAAGTGAATCGGCGGATCGAAAAACGAGGCGTTGTGGATAACAATGTTTTGTACAACAAACAACAACGATTAATTTTTAGGTGCATCTTCTTAGTTCAAATTTGAGTATATCAAACGTTTGCTTATCAGATGGGGTTGGCAAGGAACATGCAAGTTGTGGAATTGTTTTTGTTGAAAATTTCATTTCATTTCTAAATTAATTTTGCGGGAAAATGTATGAACTTCTTTTTGTCCTGCTTGTTACACTGATAATTGTGTATGAAATTTATTTTTTGTAGTTTTTTTGGAGAAGTTATAAATATTTCAGAGCATTCAATCGTTTTTTTGATATATATCTTACACCAAGGAGAGGTATTCTTCATACGAATTTCAAGTGTCGAGAAATAGACGGATATGGGCATGAAAAAGTATGCTCAGTTAGTCCGGATGAACATTTCGGTGGTCACTTGCATGGTGAAACATTTTATATTAATTACTAGATTGATGTGCGTAACTGTTTGAAATTTGTGCTGGATTTGATCTACTAGAAGTTGCTCATACCTGTTGTAATTTACTTTACGCTTCGATCCAGTTAATTTCTGAAATTGACACCGGACTTGAATAATGTCATTTTTATTCTTACCAGCGATAACTTTATTCGTTTGACATTTACTAAGCCTAATTTGATTAGTTTGCTATTAATAGCTATTAGTAGTGCTTTATTTGCATTTCAACCATCTGATCTATCTGTCAATTATACTGAATCATATTTTCGGTATTCTGAAGGTGCTGCTGATTCAATAGTAACAATTAGCTTCAATGATGAGGGCTCGTTACTGGGCACTGTACAAAGTGACGGGGAAATTTACGTCTTCGAGCCTGCAAAAATCCATTTCGTAATTTTTTTTCGTAATTGTTCTTTATCATGGTCATCTAAAGTGTCCATTTTGTTTTTGCGCTGATGATTTCCCATTTAAGATCAATTTTCTATTTATGTAACATATGTTTGAAGACAATGGAAATTTTAATCTGTAATGACCGGTTTGGTATATCGCTTGAATCGCTGCTTAACTTTGATCAGTAGTACGTTTGTTGGAAATACACTGCTGGAAGGTGAAGTGTTAAGAAATACAAGAATGGAAAGAGAAAAAAATCGTGTTAGGAAGTACAGCAGTTATTTGGCTTAAATATCAATGTTTCAAGTTCTCAAGGATACCAATATCACTGTATTCTGTATGTTAGGAAATTTTCAGAAAACAGCTCATCCCTGGGAAGTCTTAGCTTATCGAAATTCGGATTTAAAACTAAATTATGAGATGGGTAACGGATCATTTTGTTCATCGATATTAACTGGGAACCCGAATAATGCATCATTTTTTCAATCAGTGCGAATCAAGCGATTGTCAGCATTGCCAGCGCATAAAAACCGGTTTGTTAATTTGTTTTTTTTCGAGGTCCAGAATACAACGATAGGTATATATATATATATTTCATTCCACCCTTTGGTTATCCTTGGCTTTGAATTTTAGGTGCGCCTTACGCGTGGTTGCGGATTATCGATTTTTTAGGACGATTGGAAATGGTAGCCAAGCTTTCTCTGCTCGATATTTGGTTTGTTTTACAGTTACTTAGTGGTAAAAGACTACTAGCGCATTGATCCTATCTTGTTTTTATGTACGGCCATTAAATAATTTTTACCGCACGATTATGTAGAATTACAAATGAATGCTTTTAATCCATATTATTTTTCATTATTGATACGTAGGGATGATATCACGTGATATCAAACTATACTGTAAACTTATAGATAAATGTAATTGATCGTGTTAATGCATTGTATACAACGACTGATTGGGGCATCGATGAGGACGGCCGACGATTGATTAATATGGGTTTCATGATAAAAGAAATGATAATTCATACGTCTCCTACTGTTAATCAACGTAACCATTACAATTCAAATACCGATACTAAACGAAGTGTCAAAGCTGTTCTTGACGTTAGTTATATTACATTATTTCTCTTCTGGTATGTTACTAGGTAGTACCTCTGAAACTTTCTTAAGAATAATCAAATTATTTAAAGCTGCATAAATGAAGGAAAGCACAAAACTATTACCATTATCGCATCAAGAAGACAGATTAAATGAAATGATTTAATAGTTAACATTGTGGGGGTTACCCATATAACGTTATACACTGGCATGAACTGTGCTCATAATGAAAGGAATGCGTAGTAAATAAGGGGATGTCTTGATGATTGTAGAAGTACAATATTTGCCTAGTTTTCATTGTATTTAGTCTCAATTTCGTACGAAATATTTTCAGAATTTTTCCCGGAACCAAGGATCTGATAAATACTGCCTTGTTCACCTGTTTACAGCACAGTCTTTCGAGAATGGCGTTCTTGGCTTAGCTTATATTTCATCACCTGAACTTGATGCAGCGGGTGGGATATGTTCAGTGCAGGTGGTCGATTTTATCCCATTTTCTCGGAAGAATTTTAAGTTTGGGTTTTTTCTTTCAATGCGATTAAACAGTCCCAACATTTATGATGTGCATCAAATTCGTAGTTTTGTGGATTTAATTTTATTAAATTACAATGATTGGTGATATTTATCTTTATTAGCTTTTAATGAGGCCATTTTAAATCGGTTTCCATCTCGTTTCCATCTCGTCCATCTCGTTATACCAGCAAATTTTTTGTTGATTAACGATAGTCGCAGAACCAAAAAAAAGTGATTTCTTCCTCAAAACTGTCTCGATAGAGAAAAAGCTGTTCGACTTATCCCCTACTGCGAATCCGCCTTTTGGCAATATTTTAAACTATCTTTGCAGCGCCTATCTAATTCTAAGCTAGATTAATTAGCAAGTTGGTAAGGAGAGGGAGGAGAAACAAGAATGAATTCATTTTATCACTTAATGGATATTTCATAATGACAATTCAGAATAGGGATCAATTAGGTGTTGTCTATTACAATACTGCTCTCTCAAGTGCAAAAGCTACTCATGGTGGCACGGTGGTATCACGTGAAGCGGATATCGTAACGGCTCACGGTAATCAAGCGTTCTCTTAATTATTAACCGAGCGTTCTATGAATTTTTCGCAAAAGTTATCACGTTAATATGCGATGTATGCTCGATATCGTGGAATTTAGTGCAAATAAATACAAAACATAATAATCATGCAATAAAATGATTGTTAGTTGTTCGTATGATCTGAGTATTTTTCTTCACTGCTTAAGCTTCTGGAATAGTATTATTGTTCTTCTGATGAACAAATGGAAAGAATTGTAATTTTAATTAATTCGACGGTTGCCATTCATAGATTTTATGATTTTCAGAGTTAGGTCATAATTGGGGTGCTACACACGACGATTTATCGGTGGAATGCTCACCACCATACAGTTTAGGTGGTTCCTATGTTATGAACACTTTTTCCGTCTCCGGATATGATGAAAATAATAACGTGAGTTAACAGATATTTCAAAAACAAAGCGAAAAACAACTTGTATGTAAATCAAAATGAACACTAGAAAATTCGGGTTAGTTGGTAATCCACAACATGCTGTTTAGTTATATCTATCAAATTTTGCAATTATGTTTTGGCTTATTAGAATTTTTTCTATAGTTTCATCATACTTCATTTCATGCATCCACATCCGTTTTCATGTTTTAAATAGGGATTTTATTGAAAGCAGGATCTTCGAGCTGGTAAATAAAGGATTAGGCTTAATGTTTAAAAAAATTTTCCCATTGATTTACTTCAATAAATGGCTCGTTTAACAGCGTTTTTCGCCATGTTCACGCCGTCTCATTGGAAAGGTTTTGTCACGAAAAGCAAATATTTGCTTTGAACCTGAAATGAATGCATTCTGTGGTAACGGTAAAGTGGAAAATGATACAAATGGTTTTGCAGAAGAATGCGATGTTGGTGGTTTGCTTTCCGGAACTACTGACAAGTAAATAGTTTGAAGATCTAATTTCATTTGGTTTCAAGATTTTTAGCGATGTAAAATAGTTCGAAGGGTATTTTATTGTAGCTAAAATGAATCTAGCGCGGAAGAAAAAAGTTTTAAGCATAAAGAAAATTAATCAGCATAAATGCTAAATTATGGAAAAGTTCGGCTGTCATTTTTATTAGGATATTTGTAGCTTTTGGTTAAATATTCGATATTCAGAAACTAGTTTTTCGAATGTTTTCAGCTCTGGAACATTCTGGAACATTGTGTTTTACCTACTCGTGACATGTTTTCAGAAATAAGTCAATGATTTTCAGTTGTTGTACATCGTATTGTCGTCTCAAGCCGAACGCAATCTGTTCACCGAAAAACAGTCCATGCTGTTCAAGTAACTGTCAATTTCTTCCATCGACTCATATTTGTCTTCATGAAAATCGATTTCAATGCAAGCTTGCCTCATACTGCACGTTAGTTTGCTAGTAAAAAATTTTGTTCAGATGGAAATCTCCTTTATGGCAGTGTGGAATTTGGACTAGGATTAGGTGAAAGGAGAGAGAAGTCAAAGATCACTTACGAAAAATAAATTTTTGATCCTGGTAGTTACGACGTTTTATGATCAAGGAATGCAAATGAATTAATGATTTTTTTTTCCAGAGGCAATTCAGGTGAATGTCCAGAACCTGGCTTCGTGCAAGATGGTACACCTTGCATTGAAGATGGTGAGTGTCTGAAGGGCCACTGTCTCACGTTCTGTGAAAGACCGTCTGTCAACAAGAAACCGTGCATGTGCAGTAGAGGTTAGCTTTCTGATTATATATTAGTAATATTTGATGTTAGATTACTAACCCATTGATTTCTGTATATATATGGTATCTAATTTTCATTATTCTCAGCAAAATCTTTCTAACTGTTCCATCGTTCTCTATAAAATATCTGTCTTAGTGGTGTGGTTAAGTATCGATCATGAAAGATATTGGAAGATGAAAAGCTTTTGTAATTCCTCTAAAAGTAAAAGTTTTATGTAATGTGCCCTCAATTATTACTTAATTCAATAAGTGTTTAGATCATCAGCAGTTGTTTTCTCCAATCAACTACTCGTCAATACTCGCCAACTAAACTACCAACAATTTTTATTGTGATTACAGTAATAATTGTAATTAGGAGCGTGGGAATAACCTTGATTTCATAAACTCCATTTTTCATACATAGTATGAAAAGTGATTTCATGAAGCATTGTAGAAGCAGTTGCTTGCCTGCGTTGCTGTCGTTCTGAAAACGGGACGTGTGAGCCATACAGTTATGATCCGAAGTATATCTTAAAAGATGGTACTCGTTGTATTCACGGCACATGTTCGCGTGTTAGTGTTTGTCCTTTTTATTTTACTTTCAAGTTGATGGAAGCAAATAGCTCCTCGAATTCTTTTGTATTAATGAATACGCTTAGAATTTTTGAGAAATTTGTCCAATTGTATACAAAAGTATAAGTGTAAGTTCACCAGAACCCAGTCATTGATTCGATCGATAAATATTCGTCTTATCATCTTCTGATTTGGACTTTTGTGTTTTTGTTTCCAAGAATCCATCGGTCCTGTTTCATTTTATAAACTATATATGACGTGATAAATGAGATAATATACGATTAATTCTTTCTGTACAGGCCGTTTGCATTAAAGAAGTTGCTGATTTCGTTTCTCATTTTTGGAATATTATCGAAAATCTTGATGGAACGAACCTCTGTAAGTATTATCGCTTATCCATTTTAATTCTGTTAACACAACTTATTTAATAAACAATAACGTATGTGTTTTTGGAATTGCTAATTGCTAATCACAGTTCTTTGTGTTCATTACAATTAGTTTCTTATTTATAGGATACCCCCAGGAAAGAGCTACGACTAAACAAATTGATGCAAGTATAAGTAACTTGAGAATCAACAGATTTTTTCAGGGAAATTCGTTGGCGACAATTTGGTTGGTATCATTGCAGCTGTTGTTCTGATTATATGGATTCCTGCAAGCATACTTATCCATAAAATAGTATGTATTTTTAAAACTGTTTGAAAAACTACGTCATGCTGTTTTCATAATAAGTTCTATGTATGAATGGTTCGGGTCTGCGAACAAGTTAGTTGTGTCTGAATGTTTCTGATTTCTTGATTGTAATTTCGACACTTTCTTGCATTTTTAGGATAAAGCACGTGAAGTTGCAGCATCAGAAGAAAGTGAAAGTCATATCGAGGTTGTCGGAGAGAAATCGATTTACAAATACATTATTAATTCACATTTTCCGGGAGGTGATGTCGATGGAAGTTCACGATACTAACTGCAAATAGTATTCAGGAGGAAAATTTATGAAGCAAAAGTAGGCAAACCAATCAACTTTTATTCAAAGCTTTGTAGTCTTGTATTATGTAATCGTTAATTGACTTTGGATTTCGTCCTGTAAGCGATTTTACTATTTTTTTGACTGTAATTTTGTTCACTGGAATTAGATGTTTTGTTTCTAACTCCTCATTTCTATTCGCTTCTTTAATACAGATGGCCAAATGTGTTTTCTTTTAGTTGCGTAAAGTGAAAATGCATTAATTTGCTTGAATTCGAAATTGGAAGCTGCCCCTTTAATAAGATCAGAATGTACAAATTGATCAGTCAAAATGCACAAATTGATCAGGTGATCTGTGATTCTTAATGATTAACACCATATAGATTCCAAGCTTTAGATTGGTTTCCTACCGATTTCAGAAACATTTTTGATACAAAAGCTTGCAGAACTTGGTAATTGTCTTTTTTCAAAGGATGCCTTATGAGTGGAGCTTGAAACTGTTATCTTTCTGGATTACTAAAAGGTCATTGTTCAAAATACCAGTTTGAAAGCAATTCTAAAAAAAACTGTTGCTATTATTTTGTCTTCCATAAAGCCATTTATAGGTCTTTTATGCAATTACTTTTAGATAAGTTTGGAAAAATGGAAAAGAGAGAAAATAATGCAAGGATAATTTTTTCCTCCGTTTTTACTGTTAATATACATTTACATAATGCATAATTATTAAACATTCGACCTTCCGACAAACTCCAAAATTAATCTTAAAATATTGTGTTTATTTAGAAATTCATCAAGAGATTAAGAATGATCTATGACAATTTTTTACGTAATTTAGCTATATTTTCATGTTTCGTCTCATTTCTTAGTCGGTGTCCTTACCATATAAATGACAGCATTACTTTATTGAAAAACTTTTATTTTATACACCGGAATCAATGATCATATCATTTTTTTTCTTGACGCCTCATTTCCTACAGGAGAAGTTTGGAAATGAGGAATGTGATGAAGAAAGATGTGTAATATCATTATTTAAAAGCTGGTCTTGTCAAATAAAAAGAACCCTTCAAAGATTTAATCATCTCCGAATCATCTGAATGTGAGGGTGTGAGGAAGTTTTGTTTTTTCTAACAAAAAGTTTTTGAAATTCAGCATTGGAATAAGCAGTGCAGATAACAGGGATATAGAAACTGGATTTCTAATCGAAAATAACTTAAGCCGGGTGCAGTTTCACTGCGTTATTCTTCTGGTATTTCGAATGAACCACGTGTGTTTCTGTAGGACCATTTTTCTCTTGTGCTTTCATTGTGTACTTTTCTAAAGCTTTTTCTAGAATCTCCACACATGTGCCATGACCAAATACTTTGGCATCATCGAGAGGTGTTCGTCCATATCGATCCAATGGATCTAAACTGTTCAAAATTTTCAAAAAAGAGGCAAACTTCAAGCCAAAGCTTTTTGATGCTACCATTAAAATATTTTCTATGCCTCAGAGGTTAGTAGTGATAAAATTCAAAACTTTGTGAATTAGTGTGCTAAGTATACTAGGAGACGCACTACTGGAATGATTCTGCATACACATTTTAGTATTGCCCAATGGACCTTACCTGGACTTTCTTGCCATCGCTGCAACAAAAATTTCAGGACATTCTCATTGCCATGTGCAGCAGCAACATGTAATACAGTCCGATCATCGTAATCCCTTTCGGCTACGCTAACACCCAATAAAAGATATCTGAAGAAAAAAAAACCACAGTAATGATTGCCAACTCCGTGATGTTTTCACTTCTTCCTATAACCTTAAATATTAGCATAGCTGCTCGGTCGTTCTCGTTTTTATTCCTTTTTCTAATCTATTATTTCATTTTTGTTGACTTTGTACTTTTGAAATTTTCGAAAAATTCAAATTTTTTTTTCAGATCTCTATTGGTTTCAGATTCTACTGGCGAAAAAAAATCCGGTAAAATTTCATCAATTATATAATTGATATGCAAATACAATATATGAACGTCACCTTTGAATGGAAGAAATATCACCAGTAGTTGCAGCATACATCATATTCGATACGGATTCATGTTTCACTTCCCGGATTTTTTTTCGTGGATCAATTTTATGAGTTTCGGAGTAGACCTTAAATCAGATGTTAGCGTCTATCTAGAATTTACCTTCCTTTCTGAACCCAAAACCTCAACTGCGATAATGAAAAATGTCTAAAGAAACTATCAAATTATGAGGGAATTTACCTAATTAGTCAAAACTTACCAGACTGTCGTAATTATGAAAATTAAATTTTTCCACGAATTGTTCCGCAAATCTCACTCCTCGAACTGTATTGCCAAGTTGGTCAAGTGGTGGCGAATATAAACAGATGCCCATGACATTTGGTACAACAATGATCATATCACCCGATACACCACTTTTTGCCGGTAAGCCAACCTCAAAAAGAATATTCATATAGCGATAAGGCTGAGTGATTTGGTGGCTTTTTATTAAATAATTATTCCATCTTTCATTTCGATTATCTTCACCATGAAAAGGATTAGCGTACCTTGAAAGCAAATTGCCCGGAGTAATCGTACATTCCACATGAATACATCAATGATAATGTATCACGAACCGCTCGATTACACACAACTCGTTCCTCACTTAATGGTGATACTCCACCGTTAGCTAATGTAGCCGCCATTACCGCTAACGTATCGACATTGGTTTCGATTGCACAAAGTTGAAAATATAAATCTAAAGTATCCTGAAATTACGGAATAATTAATACTAGGCTAAATCTGGACGGCTCACTTTGGCAAAAAAGTACTAAATAATCTCACGCTGTTACGGTTAGATGGGTTAGTTATGTTTCAAAGAATCAACCAGAAAATCAAATGATCAAATGCTCATACGAATTGAGAAAAATGACAGCACTTGACGACAATCTATAGGTGAGTCGATCATAAACTTTGCAAAACTAATTACATTCATTTTATCTGGGTGTAGAAGTGAATGGAAGCGACACTGGAACATAACATACATCGATATATTTCCAAAAACTTCAATTAAAACGAGGAGTTGTAGGGAAAAATGTTGACTAAATCTGAGAGAGATTTGATTTTATGCATTTATGCCATCACTAACTGAAGAATATTCAATCATCCCTCCTTTCACTTTCGCTAAATCAAATTCGAATTTAAATTGGAATCTCTAGCTACGAAAATCGATAAGCCCGAAACCTCCATTCTCTACATCACATGATATCACATTATGAGATTATGTCGAATCAGACGGTTCATCAAGAAATTCTAAATTTTGAAGGGTTTCATAAATTTAAAACAAAATCAGTACTCTAGGAAAACTGCTTACTTGTAAGCTAGTCTTGGGCGGGAAACACTTATGTTCACGCATATAGTATGACAATGCATAATTTCGATCAGCCGTTTCACGCTCAGACAGGAAGACGGCATTGTTAAAGCCAACGAAACCTCCGGCAGCAAATCGTTTGAAATACTGCAACGCAAAATCAAAACGATCGGCAATTGAGTTCGAGCGTTTAATCAACGATGCTACTAATATGGCTCCTGCATTGATCATTGGATTATGTGGCTTGTCTGAAAGTTTGTTCTTGTCATTATTCTTTTCCCTTAATTTTTTAACCTAAAGTTGCTTTTTTCTCTATTTTTTTTATCCTTCATTTCCAAAACTTGTGAGATCCATTCGTTGAATTAATATATATACATGCGATTTATTTCACTTTGTGCTCCCCTATTTTTAGAATTTAATCCAAGTAAGAGAAAGTTCGAAAATATTTTGTTTACGCATAATTGAGAAAATCTGATATTTAGATGGAAGGAAACAGCAATGGTTTTCACTGATAATTGAATTTTTGAGTCGTCAATATCTCGAAAGAAATATGTAATTCAGCTCTATCCATTTAGTTATCATATTGCCTAGAAAAACACAATTAGAAAACTCATTCTATGCTAAACATTAGAAGCAGAAAACAACAGGAATCGATTGCATGCCAATTACTACAGCATGAAGCATCCAAAGAAAAATGTTTCTACCTAAAACCGTTCAAATTCCTTTAGATAAATATTTCATCTCATTTATATTCAAATTACAGGCATAAATTTTCCACTGCATGACTGTAGGAATAACTTTAAACTGTAAGAGAACTTTACATAATTATTTATCTGAAGGAATTATGCAGTTAATGTCAATCAACTAAACTATTTAGAACGATGAAACTAATATAATGTAAGGAATATCAGCATCTTATGATTTGCATAATTTGGCATCGACAAAAAAATAAAATAACAACAAAGATTAATTTTAACCAAGCCATCTTTTGTTTGGTTGAAAAAATGTCATACGTATGGATGATTTCATTCACTAACGAATGTATAAGTATTTAAAATTTTTAGCAGTGCGACATAAATCAATTTTGATTAATTACTGGAAGAGACTTAAAAAATCTCAATAGCTGTTGCACATAATGGATGCATTCATGCATTAATAGAATGTAGTTTAAAAACCACTTTTCCTGACAGACTTCTTTGTTTTGGATCTCGTATAGCTATTTCACACAGAGAATAAAGATTGGTTAAACACGCTGCGATGTATTGCTAAATAAACTATTCGGTATTCATATTAAATTTTGGAAAATTCAACATACAGGTTAGTTAACTGTATGTCTGTCGAAATGGCCTAAGAAAAAAAGAAAGGAATCACTTACGATTATGATCCAAGCAAATTTCATTGAATAATCGACCTGATGGTTCTTGGCCGATATATCTATGCACCTTTAAAAAAAAAAAGAAAATCAAATCTGAAATAAACCATTCGAAGTCTTTTTTTCCTGTTCGCGCTTTCGAGACAGAGAAGAGATGAGACAAGCATATTGTAAATCGAATTGATATTGTTAATTGAATTTCAAAATTTGAGAGGTTTTATAGTATTTGAAAAGGGGAATGTTAATGTAGTTAACGTACTTCTTCTGCACCAAGTTCATCCATAGCAATAGCATAGGTGAAGGGCTTTGATACACTCTGCAAGCAGAATGGTATTTGCGTAGCACCCCACGATCGACGTTGTCCATCAACGGTACAGACCGACATGGCCCAGGTTTTCGGATCTGATCGAGCCAGCTGTGGAATGTACGTTGCTACCTGGGAATATTAATCGGGTTAAATCATAATATATTATTTGACAGTAGTGAATAGCATCAAATGAGATTAAAAAGGAAAAGTCTTTTCGAATGAAACTTCAAAACATTGTTTTGAATACCATTCCGAAAGAAATGAAAATGAAATTGAATTCTGCGATATCTAACCAACCGAGAACAATAAAGTGGATTGACTAGTCGAGAATATCAGTCAATCAAATCATCAAATGATAATGTTTAAAAAAAGCTCAAATCTAAGCCACAAATAACAATGGTTCATTGCAACGACTTATATTTTGACAGTAAATACAAATATTTTTCCAGAAGAACGCTCTAATATTGAGAGAAAATTTTTTTTCACTTTTTAAATGAAAAGCTAAATGATTTAAACTTTTGACAGATGTGTAAAAATTTCAGTGGTGAATGTAAACAAGTGACCAATAGCTCTTATTACAGGCTTCCTTTTGGAGAACTAGATGTTCGGAACATTATTTTTCCATCAAAATCAAGTAAACAAAGTACAATTCATTGATTGATCACCATAGGGTCATTTACTTTTTTTAACAATCGCTGCTAACTGTTTTACGCATCAAAAGAAAGAGACAAAAAAACTTCCCTTTAATCTGAAACGTACATTAAGATTTGATAAAACGTGAATGATTTTTCGACGAGTTTGAATCAGCATAATACAAAACTAGACTGCGTAATCTTGAATTTTGCTTAGAACATAGAATGAAGGCGTTGGAAGCAAAGCTCACATTTCCATCATCGAGATCACGGCATGATTCAAAAATTTCACCAATAACTGAAATGAACGCTGGCCAATCTGGGATTACGAGCTGTTTTTTCAGTGCTTTGGCAATGATTCCGATCGCATCACTTACGTATCTGAAAACAGATGATTGAAGTTAGTTCTGTTGACGATTAACCATCCAATTTGTAAATCTTTAATCAAAAAGCAACCTTTTGAAAGTTTCTCGATCCAGATTTTCGTTAATCACTTCAGTAGATGCTAAATCTGAAACAGACTGCCGTCGTTCGTCGTGTCGTATTGCATGTAAAAAGTTGGCTAAACGTGGATCATCACGTCTAATTCCAGTTTCGTAAAGTAACTGAAAATGAAAGACAGAAAAATTATTTAAAAAACCGCTATTTGTACACTGATTAATTTATCACTTCGTTGGTACAATGATGGCTTGAAATTTTAACTTTTCAAACTACGTTAATTGTTCACTGCAATAATAATGGGAAACAGCATGATTACTACACCACGATCTGATTGCAACACTTCTGGAACAGATATTAGATCAGGACCTTAACCATCATACAATTAAGTTATTTTATCCGAAAAAAATCGATGCATATTCCGATTGAAAATAAGAATTTGTAAATAAATCCCATCAGAAAAGTTAATAATATATTTCCACTTTCAGCAAACTTCACCAACTTAATTTATCTTTCACTGAGCACAATATTTTTGAAAATGCAGGAAACATAAAAAACTTTTTGAAAAAAAAAATGGAGTTAACACAGAAATCAATTTTTGCACTGCTTTCACAAAATACATTCTTCAGTGAATAAACAATTTTTATGATAAAATAGATGAATTTTACACAAAAATCATTTGTTTTGGGAAAGTGGCCGGGAAATTTTTGAGGTTTTATTTTCTCAATCTTTCCAGTTTTTGAATGTTGTAGCTGTTCATGAGAAACCTTCAAAAAAGAGAAACCTTCAATAAACCAGATGATGACAACGTTTCGGATTCCGGATTCCTATATAGATCAAAGACGGCATCATCGATATGGGGCGCACCTCTTGAACTCACAGAATCCGTTGAAAACTGTCGTTCACGAATGCAACCCATTGAACCCCTTGACCTAAAAATTTCCTTACCAATAAACAATCGAATCTCAGAAGCATCCTGTCATAAATATACCGAAAAATATAATTTATTCTCAGATATACCAGAGGATGCTTTCATTTCAGGCAACAGAGAAGGATCTCGGCTTTTCCGTAGCGTTTCCTTCTTTTTTTTTTCATTTTTCATAAATGGTAAATCTATAGTCTAGAAGTGAAATTAAAGTCATAAGCATTTCAGCAAACCCAATCAAATATTATAGAAACCACTCATAAAGAGGGGCTTTAATGGAAATAAAAAATTTCTGGATGAAAAAAACAGCACAGCTGGTCATCGCACTCTGCACTATTTCCTTATTAATTGAGAAACATAGTACTTCCACCAGAAGGATCACATTTCTCAATATGACGAGTGCCTCAGTATGATGAGTGGAGGATTTCGCTTAGCAATTAAAAAGGATATTGATTTTTTTTCTAAATTGTACTAAATTGTAAAATATTTGAAAGAAGAAAAAATGGAGAGATTTAATAAATTTGTTAATTCACCCCTTCCCCACCGGTAAGCGGATTTATTACAAAAATACAACTCCTATCATGTATATGTGTGTCGTTTTTTTTTTTTTTNTTTTTTTCTTACAAC